GGTCAGGGCTCGGGCTAAAGGTCCTGAAATCCCAGCAGATAATCAAACTCTGTCGCTGTAGTTTATTTCCACGTTGGTGGATTTTTATTTTATTTATTGTTTCAAACATCGGTCCTATTTTGTCAGGGTCTCTTTATTTTTGGTTGATAGAAGCCATGTCTTTCAGCCAGGAGGTGGAGAAAATTTCAACATTCCTTAACATGTGCCGATCAGGTTAACTGTTAACCAGTCTCAGATGTTTCTAGACTGATGACTCACTTCTGTGGATGGTAATAATACACTAGAGGTACTGATTAAATCCCTGCCTTGCTGAAGAGTTTCTGTCAGTAGTAGGCAGTATTTTAAGATGTATTTGAGGTGATCATGTGATCATAATCACTAACCACCGTGTTTTCTTTCACAGATGATCCCAACACTCTGTTTCGCTCCAACTCACTGGCCTCCAAGGCCATGGAACAGTTCATGAAGGTGGTGAAAATCTATCCTGCATCTCTTTCTGCCTCTCTCTAAAAATTAGGGATGTCTAATAATTAAATCTGTTTTTTTCTAATGTGATAAATGGGTAATTAATCCTAATTAAACACACAGTTGCTCATAATAGGGTGACATGGAAACAGAAAGCAGAGAAGTTTTCAACCTCTAAATGTACACATGCATGTAGTTAACTTATTAACCTGGTTGATACCCATCTGTAATGTAGCTTCATTGCTAACAGATCGTCTGTTCTGCTGCCAGGCTGTTGGCATGCTGTATCTACATGAGGTTCTGAAGCCAATCATCAATCGCATCTTTGACGAAAAGAAGTACATCGAACTGGACCCGTGTAAAATCGACTTGAATCGCACAAGGTGCAACTGACCTTACACATGTTCTCGCCCTCCACTCCCCCACCGCACCCCCACCCATACACTTCTGGACTGAAATAGTACAGATTTGTGTCCAGTTTAAATGTACAAAAGAATGAAACTGCTGAACATCTCCCTCACAAAGTTAAACCTATGAAAACAGAACTGCCTGTTGCTTAGCAACAGTCAAGACTCCTCTGGAATGTTAATGTCATGAAGTAAATACAGATATATTTACCTTTACACACACACACGTATATATATACAGTATATCTATACATATATGTCTACATATATATGCATATATATATATATATATAGAGAGAGAGAGAGAGAGAGAGAGATAAATGATGTCATAGCATCATTTATCATTGACGGCATTGACTTTCATTACATGAGAGTGGATATGAACCCTAATTTATATATACAGTATATATAAAAAACTCAACTTGGACGACTGCATTAAGGCTCATCCATCTGAATGGGTTCCACTTAGAGGGAAAGTGCTGACTGTAACTTTTGTTAGAACAAGAGTTTCAAGTTACACATCTGTTATTTTGAACATGTTGTACTTTGTAAAGTCACCATATGAAATCACACAACAAAAAAACTCAACAACTCATGTCAGTGACTCTCTACTACTGAACTACTTAAATACCTTTGTCTTTGTTTGACAGACGCATTTCATTTAAGGGCTCGGTGTCTGAGGCGGAGGTGAGAGACAGCAGTGTGGAGACGCTCCACAGCTACTTGAGCAGCATCATTGAACTGATCGTGGGCTCAGTGGATCAGTGTCCTGCAGTCATGAGAGTGGCCTTCAAACAGCTGCACAAGAGAGTGGAGGAACAATTTACCAACCCTGAGAATGAGGTCGGTGATGACCACAACACTTAAAGAAAATGCTTTTCTTACATTCATTAACATTTGTGTCAAATCCCGTCATCGTCACAGGACGTGAAATACCTGGCCATCAGTGGATTCCTCTTTCTGCGGTTTTTTGCCCCTGCAATCCTTACACCTAAACTGTTCCAGCTGAGAGATCAGCACGCCGACACACGCACCAGCAGAACACTGTTACTACTGGCCAAGGTACACAACACACACACACACACAGACAGGCATGAAGAGTTCATTCATGTGTAGTAATCACACTACTTACTGTCTGAGTAGAAGAAACAAAGAGCAAAGAAGAGGAGGAGGAGGAGGAGGAGGAGGAGGTCAGGGAGCAGAAAGTCAATTTAACCCCTTCATATACAACAAACACAAATCATGAATTTGATTTTTTCAAAATGTATGTGTAGAGGAGACAACATCCACACAGGTGCTCCTGCCAGACCATAATAATATCAATCATTTTTAGCCATGACTCACTTCTAATAAAAATTAACATGGCCAAAAATAAAAATTGACCAATCAGAATTTTCGTCGAGCCAGAACGTATCGACCAATAAATCGCTGTGGGCCAATCTATAACATAAAACATTATAACATTATCATTATAACATTAACATTATAACATTAACATTATAACATAACATTATAACATTGTTCGCTAAAGGAATTTTGAAAACTGATTCTCTTTTTCTTAATGACCGGGCTGCGTCAGGGCCACTGTGGACCAAAAGGCCAGCTCCATCACACAACTATAACAAACTGATTCTCTTTTTCTTAATGTCTGGGCTTGACTATAAAAAATACTAACTATAAAAAATACTTGCAAACATCCAAGAAGGCCTACAAAAAGGCTTTTGAAAAGCCATAACTACAACCAGAAGCTGAAATGAACAACCAGCATTAAATACAGCGTTAGAAACATACGGCTACAGTCCCAAATTAAAAGCAAGTGTGTGACTGTTGTTGCTGTCCATGGTGCTGAACAGGCCTTCCCCACAGAAACAGAACAGACAATACTTACATTTGCATGCGCTGCAGTTCAAAGCTGAACATCAGAGAGGCTGCCCCCCACCTCCTCCCACCAACCTCCTGCCCCCCAGCCCAGGCCGATGAGGGACGAACAAAGGGTCTCCATCCATGGCCGCTCAGAGGAGCGCTTTTGATCTGTGGCTCTGAGAAACACAGGCTTCTACACTGAAACTTGTCACACATTTGACATTTGAAGTCCAAGACAGTCCTTGGTGTTTGTGCTCTATAGGCACTGCAAAGTGTTGGGAACCTGGGCCTGCAGCTGGGCCATGGAAAAGAGCAGTGGATGGAACCTCTACATCCCATCATCCTTCGCAGCGTGGCCTCCATCAAAGACTTTCTGGACAAGTTAATTGACATAGACCATGACATTGGTAAGGCTACTACGTTACACATGGTTGTATCTTTTCAATCCATTTAACAAACACCATGTTTTTACAATTGGTCTCATTTTAAAAATGTATTCAACAACAAAAAAAGTAAGAAGAAAAAGTTCTGACTTAGATCAAGTGGATATAAACAGAAATCTTTTTGGTCCAGTTCTAAAAGAAGCAAAGAAAGAATCAAAACTTCACATGAAAGACAAGTTCAGACTTCAGATTGACTCTCAGATTAACCCAGACTTCAGATTGACTCTCAGATTAACTCAGACTTCAGACTGACTCTCAGATTAACTCAGACTTCAGACTGACTCTCAGATTAACCCAGACTTCAGACTGACTCTCAGATTAACCCAGACTTCAGACTGACTCTCAGATTAACTCAGACTTCAGACTGACTCTCAGATTAACTCAGACTTCAGACTGACTCTCAGATTAACTCAGACTTCAGACTGACTCTCAGATTAACCCAGACTTCAGACTGACTCTCAGATTAACTCAGACTTCAGACTGACTCTCAGATTAACCCAGACTTCAGATTGAAGTCAGGTGTTTTTAATCCTTAATCTCCATGTCTAGGTACCATGAAAGGAAACCAGAGTTGTTTAGGAAACCTCAAACATGACGCTGTTAAGTGTTTCTATGGAAAAAGAAAAGGATTTTAACAAACAACAGTTCAAGAGCAGCTAGGTTTATTTTAAAAGAAATGACAGCCACAAATAAACGCAACATTGGATTAAATAATCCTAGATTAATGCAACAATAAATTCATATCTAAATCCACAGATATTTGATGTTGATAATGTGACTGTGTGGACGGACCAGAATAATCAACACAAGTTTACTTCACCCACAAACTACGACAAATCATAGTCTGAATATTGTTTACTGAAAATATAGTCAAATCTGGATTACGGCGTTAACATCATAACAAAAATGTAATGACATGAACTTCCTGGAGGTGGCCACATGTATTATCGGCTCAACATGTTCTTTGAAAAACAATCTAAATCCACAGGCTAACACAGGCTAACACAGGCTAACACAGGCTAACACAGGCTAACAGAGTAGATGGATATCATGGACCTCAGGTCACTAACAGATCACTGAGATGCTAATTAAATGTGATGAATCAGCCGGAGTCCAGTTGCTACAGGGATCAGTTGCTGCTTAGTGAAAAATTCATGAGGATCTGGAGGCCTTGAACAGCAGTGACATGGTTAATGAGCAGAGAGCAGCTGCAGGTGCTGGTTCACACCACACTGGTTAGTTAGGGTGTTAGTTAATGTGTGACTGTAGCTTTTGTTGTCAAATGTCTCCCCCGTGTGGCAGACCATGTTTCCCACTTCCTGACCACTGACGTTCATTTGTTGACCTGGTGTGAAGTCTTGTTATGGTGTTTTTGTGCATTACACTGGAATCATTGCTGTCTTCTCATCATCATAGCACCACCTTGTGTCTCTATGGCAGAACAGGCTGCCTAATAAGTTTTTCTCAGACTTGGAGAGAGATGTTTGTGTGATGAAATAATAAGTTCACAGCTGAACTACCCTCACCCTAACCCATGGTCTCAGCTCCAGGTTCTTTTTCTAAATTCCTTCTCTTGTCAGTCCTGCTGGTCTTCCCATGTTATTCCTTGTGTCCTATGTTTGGCTTTGGTCTGGTATTGGTTCATATGGTCAGTTGTGTCCAGATTTGGCTCAAAGAATTCAAGCTTGTTTGACTAGGACTAGGGTGAGGGTGAGGGTGAGGGTGAGGTGGCGTTCTTTTCTCTCACACAGTAAGCTGTTAGCTAGCCATGCTAACAAACTGATTTCCCACTTAAAATGTGGTAGAAAAATCTCATCAAAAGTCAAGTTATCAGATAAATGTTCTCCTCTCCTGTCTGTAGTGTCTGTGGTGCCTCAGCGAGCCGTGTTCATGCCCTCTGTGACCATCAAAGAAGGATACCTGCACAAACATAAGGCTGAGGGACCTCAGCTGTTGTCACGCTTCGCCTTCAAGAAACGATACTTTTGGCTGACAAGCCAGACACTGTCCTATGCAAAGAGCCCAGACTGGCAGGTCAGTACCACGCCATCAACTGAGCGATATGATTGGACAACACAGAGATAATTATATTGACCAACACTGTTTTGTTGTTTTTTTATGATTAAGTCCAAGGGTTCAGGGACTAAACTTGTCCTCCTTTAATGATGCAACATTTTATTGCAAGTACACCGCAACATGAAAGGGTCACTTATTAGACACACGGTAGATAGACAGATCAAACTGTGGTTCCCAAATTTGGGATGTGGTACTTAAAATAAAGAATGTGATCCCATATTTGGGGAATTGTTGTGTTAGCAGCAGATATGCTGTTAACAGGCCGCCCCTAGCAAGCGCCAAACATGGGGTTCTTCTGGGAATCTCTGCTCTCTGCTTCAGAGGTAGGTGTGCTATCCACTACACTATGGAACCAGTACTTCTGTTAGAGTAGTACCACAGAGGAAAACTTCAAGATACTTTTATACAGAGTTCTGCAGAAAAGGTTTGAAAAGTACAAATAACAAAAAGATATTACTGATATGACAAACTGACACGAGCCTCCTCTAAAACCACTGTGAGGGGCGGAGCCCCCTACCAGGTGACCATGGTAATACAGGTGAGAACAACACTCAAAGGTCAAAGAAGAAGAACCTGACCTCAAGGTTAAAAACCAAACAGCCACTGACGATGGTAAACCAGGGACCAGTTAAACAACTTGGACCAAATGTTCTAGGTCAGTATTTGGTTCTTCTGTCTCAGGACTTAAAGACTCAAAGACTCAAAGACTCAAGGACTCAAGGACTCAAGAACAGATCGTCATTAAATCAGAGTCCAGAATATTCTTTCTGCTGTGAAGATACTTAGTCAACATAAATGAGTGGTTGATGTCACAGTTATTGTTTGGACACATGGGCCGAGGGAAGAGAAGTGATTCATCTATTATTGGGGGCCGGGGGGGGAGGGGGGGGACCATGGGTCATAACATAAATAGGTAGTTTAGTCACCCCCAGCTCACTTTAATGTAAAAAAAACATCATTAGCCTTATTCCCATGAGCTGCCTAAGTGGGGGTGGGGGTGGGGGGGCAGTAAAGAGCTCTGCCTTTGAGCCAGCCTCTGGTTAATGCCACCAGAATAAAAGCAAAGGGTTAATGAAGCCATGCTATTCAAGACAATGTCAGGTCCGGTCCCTTCATTTTGGACCACTCCATTTCAGTGAAGCTCCTGTGGTGAAGTGACTCATTTACACTTTAAAGAGAAAATGATGAGCACATCCTCACTTCCTCTTCACCTCTTTGTCTCAGTCAAGAGATATTTCACACCAACGTCTCATCAGCACCGACCAACCACAGTCTTGGCGCAGGAACTGTTATTTGTGTCATTTCCTGTAGGTGCGCTCGTCCATCCCTGTCCACTGTGTCTGTGCCGTGGAGAGAGTGGACGAAAACGCCTTCCAACAACAACATGTGCTGCAGCTCATCACCCAGGACAACGACAGCCAGATGAACACCATCTACATACAGTGCAAGGTAACCAACATGTGCATGACCTGTTTGACCTTTGACCTGAGAATGTTGGAAACTTGGAACTATTGGAAACTTCTAAGAATTTAAGTAATGATGTGAATAAATGGGAACAAACCTGGAGAAACTTGGAGAGGACAGTTGACGGTTCAAAGACCGGAGCAGCGTTTACTGTTCACAGGGTGTGTAGACATTTGTTTAAACTCAAAGAGTGGCTCTGAGGTCACAAAGGGAGTGCTGACAGATCATGAGCAATTCAAATAAAACAAACATACACATACACATATATGTTTGTTTATAAATGTGAACGAATAAATCAACAAACATTTGAATGTACCTGTCCTCAAACTCCCGTGCACACTTTACGTTGGCACAGGTTTTAAGCAGTACATCCACTGGGGGCAGAGCTCCAGTTCTCCTTTGCTTCCTTTAAACTGAGACCTAATTGGCGTCTTGTTTGATCATGGTTTTTCTTTTTAAGAGAGAACAAAGAAACATACTCTATATATGTTGTTGTTATATCGGCTGCGAACACATTCACAACATCTCTGCTCAAATCTCTTTTCTTTCCTGTTGTTTTGGTGCCGAGCGGCTGCTGGAGCCTTGTTTTTCCCCCCCAGGACATTCATTGGTTCTGTTCAGTTTCTGCACTGAGCTTCACACCTGCACCTGTCGTGAACATAGAGGAAGGACAAAAAGTCTTAGCATTAGCACATATTAGCCTTCACAGAGCTGGGATTTAAACTGCCAACCTGATCCTTTAAGCACTAGGTTTTCCCCAAAGATATTTTTCCTTCTGATATTCAGTTGTTCCTGCGCTCACTGCAGTACTCAGTGACCATGTACTCTCATTGTGGTCTAAGCAGAATGTGAATGAGTTGAACCAGTGGCTGTCTGCCATCAGGAAGGTCAGCATCTGCAATGAGCGCATGCTGCCGTCTTTCCATCCAGGTGCTCATCGCAGTGGGAGGTGGACCTGCTGCCTCCAAGTGGACAGGGCTGGTAATTTATCTCCACACTGAACAAAATCTGCACATTCTTCTGCAGAGTGATGTTCATTGGTCTGTTCTCAGTTCCAGGCTGCAGTAGAACCCACTCAGCTGTGACTCTGGGTGACTGGAGTGACCCACTTGACCCGGATGTGGAGACTCAGACCATATACAAGCAGCTTCTTCAGGGCCGGGATAAACTGAGGTCAGCTTCATTCATCTGGCTGCATTTCATTTATTCTTCAGTAGATGTCAATGTTGCCACAAACGTTTTTCTCTCTCTTCTAAAGACTGGTGATGATGTAAAAAAAATGCTCTTTGTGATTTAAGTGAGTAACTTTTGGTCAAGGAGATTACAAATATTTAGTGCAACATAAAACAACCAGATGAAGAATTGGTTCATGGTATGTTTAGGAAAAACTGAGATTTTTTTAAATTCTACTTTCATTTCTCTGTTGAAACGCATTTGTTTTTTGGTGATTTTTGTTTTCTCTCGTCAGCCTTTTCATACACACATACATCTAAACACTAACCCATGGTCATTTCCTCACCTGTAAACGTTGAAGCTTCTAAAGAAAAAAGTAAATAAGGTTAAATGTTATATGAATCAAAGTATGAAAAACTAAAGTCAAAAAGTTTTGGGAAATCATGGAAAATAAATCCTTTGGAGTTTATGTTGCTGATAATGTGACTTTTTTTCTTCCACTTCTGGCTGCTTCCTCATGGGGGCACCACTCTACTGTTACACCAACAACCTCCACGTCCTCTTCCTGTTTGATTGACCATTGATCATTCAGTTGATGTCCTTTCTTCTGCAGGAAGAAGTATCTTCAGGTGCCAGACGTTGATGAAGAGACGGAGAACAAAGAGAAGAAGATCTGCGACGACATTCTTTTAGGTGCCACTGCAGCAGATACTGCACTAAGTTAGGGTTATATTTTGAATAAAAAAGCATGTTCTCTCTCTCTCTCTCTTTCTCTCTCTCTTTATAGATGGTGCTGAATGCAATGTTGAGCGACAGCATCTGGGTCAGAGCGCCGCAGCCCGACTGATGGCGGTCATCAAGGACCTGGAGCAGGCTCACGCCACCTTCCAGCTCAGGGAGCAGCATGACGGCTCCAGTGTCATTTGACATCAATGACACAGATGTCTGGAGGAGCGGCTACTTCCTGTGGCAACTCTGTCCTCAGTCTTTGGTCACTTCTTTGTCTGTTTCTTGTCTGAGTGCCAGCGATTCCTACGATGAAGTGCCGAAACACTCCGGATCGTGATCGGACTTTCAATTCAATTTTTTTAAGTGTAATTCACAAGCAGTCGGTTGCATGGACTGGATCCGCATGTTGTGAAATGTGTAAAAAACAAAAAAAGAAAAAAAACAAACTTTTATATTTTCAAAGATAACATCGCACAATTTATGCAAAATGCTTGTAGTGCAGACCGGACCAGGTTCAGATGAAATGGTCATTGGACGATTCTGATCTGATGGAAATGTGTTTTAGCCAATCCTCATCCATCCATCCATTCATCCCCCTGGTGGCCAGAGGAGTTAGTGCTACATCATTACCCCAGAGACCTAGTGTGGAGAGTTGCCACCAGTTAACCTGTTCAATATACATTAAAAACAATAGGAAATGGAGTGGAAAGGTCACGACAGAAAGACTGACCTCTGACCTCTGACTACATCAGCACCTGATGGTGCCAGAACTTTCACTGGGCATGAGCAGAGTAAGCAGGGTCACACATGAGGAGAATGCTAAAGAATATGGCAATGCCGTACAGCAT